TTTTTTTTTTTTTTTTTTTTTTGCAAGCTGTTGGCGTGTTTGCCATTCAGGTTCGTTTATAATTAACTCCAAAAAGAACCCACCCAGCCCAGTCAACAACAAACAAAAGGGAGTAGCCGATATCGATGGAGAAATGCCATAGGAAGCTGCAAGAATGCAGCCTACAGCTGATGCCATTTGCCATTCGGAGAACCTCAGGGAAAGATGCCAATTCTGCAGCTCGGGAGAGACACAGAGAAGGGAGCACAGAGGTCTCCAAACAGGGCTCCGAAGGAAGGAAGGAGGGAAGGAAGGAAGCAAGCAAGCAAGCAAGCAAGGAAGGAAGGAAGGAATGCTGCTCTTGCAGGGCAGGCTCATAAAGGCATACAGCCTCTGCTGGGAGGAGAGGGAATGTTTACAGACAAGTGGAGCGATGCCTAGCTGTGTATGCACACACGCACACAACTGCGTGTGCATGGACACGCACACACACATGCACACACAGCCGGAGACATCTTCAGACATGTAGATGTGTATCCATGTGATGTGTGTGTGTGCATCTGTGTGTACACAAGTGTCTATGTGTTTGTGTGTGTGTGCGTGTGTGTGTACGCGCATACATATGTATACACAGAGATTCATATGCATGTGTGCACGAGAGAAAGAGAGAAAGAGAGGAGGGAGAGAGCGAGTGAGCTGCATGCCGTGTGTGCATGTGGGTATACTTCCCACTTTTTGACCCAGGTATACACAGAAGACAAAATAAAAATCATACTCCAGCAGCAAGCAGGCAGTCAGAGATTTATCTACATTCTCTGCTATCACCAGGGAGATGAATGGGGCCGAGCTGGAGCCCTTTACAAGATCCACTATGGGAGTGAAGGAGGAGGAGGCATGCCACACAGACATGCACAAACTTGAAGATAGAGAGATTTGGAAGGTGCTACTTGTGCAGCCCAGGTGGCACACCGGAGGGTGCGCAGGGGAGAGCGCCACACACGCTCGGTGGGGTCTGCAGGGTGCCTGGGCTCCAGGGGACAGCTGGCTACTTACGTTGTCTGCGTTGCTGTGGATCCTGAAAGGTGTTCTGTTGGCACCGGGCGCTGAGCCAGGGACGGGCGCTGGAAACAAAAGGGAGAGACAAAAAATAAAGTCACGCAACGGGAATATTAATTGCCTCTCGTGCGGATTTTACAAAATACACAAACTGTTTTCTTTCCTTATTTTTTTTCTTTTTCTTTTTCTTTTTTTTTTTTTTTACATGGATTGGCGCGCATCCCCTCTGCACGGAAAATACTAGCGTGGGATTTACAGCCCAGTTACAGGGCTCGGGATTAACAGCGCTGGCATCTTTTGGGCATATTTTTCCTTTTAATGAATGAGCTTTCGCTGTTAATGAGGAATAATCGTTTGGCTAATGAGCTTTGAAACATTAAGAGAAAAGAGGTTTTTTTCCCCGTTAATCGCCCTGGTGCGACCGCATGGATGGATTACAAAAGACAGCAGTAGAAGCGCAGTACAAAGGGGGGACGTCTCCCGGAGTGGGATAAATGCAGAGATGGGTGATGCGTCCCTGCATCTCTCTGTCCTTCTCTCTCTCTCTCTCACTCACTCTGCCAACTGCTATGGGTTTCCATAACTCTGCAATCAAAGTGGATGTTTGGGAAAGATTATTACAGTCAAACAGCGGAGCGTCGGCTGTTAATGTCTCCAGTGTTTAATCATCATACAGTAGAATGGTTTTATGCATATTTCATTTGCATATCATTAAACTGCGTTAGCATGGGACATTCAGAGCCAGGAGAGGTACAAAGTTGGGGGGGGAGAGTGAGAACAAGCAAGTGAGCGAGCGAGCAAGCGAGCAAGCAAGAGAGAGGGGAAGGTCCCTGTGATGCCTATCTTCAAAAGCCAGGGACTCGTTCCATGATCTCTCCTCTACTTCTACTAAAATCATTATGACTTGGAAACCTTTGAAGTTGGATATAACCTTGGATTCTTCTAATTCCAGCAGTGATGTATTAAAAAGGGGGAAATGGTGCTGCGCTAGACATTTAAAGGAATATAAACACCAGTGGTATGGAAATAGGAGCTCTTTGGGGAACGCACTGGCAGAGTCAGCCACAGCTTCGACAAACACCACACTTTGGGTTCATATTAATAAAGGACATCACAGTAACACAACAGAAACGAAGACAACATACACATGAACACAGGGATTATATTTCTCTCTCGTTTTGTTTTGGTTTGCTTTTTTAGGTAAAGAGAAGGATGGAGCCAGTGGTAATTTATACCCGAATTAGCGAACAGTTGCCTCTTTTTGTATTTCTTCTTCTTTTTCTCTCTTGCGCTTGGGAGAGGGGTGTCGTCACTGCTGAAGTGATTAATCAATTATTTGGTAGCTAAGATCTTTCTCCACTGGCACTGGCCAGGGAAGGAAGGTGGTGGCTGGGGGGAGAAGAACACAGTGGGCTCTTTGTAGATCTTATACATGCACAACATATTAATTGGGGTCTTTATAAGGCTCCCTCAATAGACTATTTAATTCCTGGTAAAACAGCAGCTGGTTCGCCACTGTTGGCGACTCTTCAAACATCACTTTTGCTGGGGGCTGTTCCGCCGCTGTTTGTTGTGTTGTTTTATTTTCCCTCTGGACAGCAGGAGCTGCGGCCGTGAGGCTACTTCACTACCCGGAGGCTCTGAACTGCACGGGCACATTTGGATCTCGGACATTTCCTCATACCGCGCGCACAACTCCATTGGAAAATGAAATGCTGGTTTATCATTTCACTGCTCCTCAGCGCCCCTCCCCTGCATTTCTTCTCCAAAGCTTTGTCTTGGCTATGAATATTCAGATGAGCCATGATGTGATTACACTGTACAATTACTTGTGTCCATGGTGGTGGCGAAGGGCTGAGGAAAGGCAGAGCCAGGCTGGCTTGGAGCTTGGTCAGGGTTTGTTTTCTGTATTTTTCCGATCTCCGTGGCACTGTGGCACATGCAGATGTCGCTGTTGTTCTTTATAAAGCCCTAATGATATGCGAAGGCATAACGACCCCATTTGGGTGCAAAGCATCTACGAAATATTAAGGGGGGGGAAGAAAATCCTGACTGAAGGAATGTCCACATAAATTATTTTTATTTAAATGAGCTGGAAGGAGGAGGTGGCAAGTCGGAAGAAGTCACATGGAATACATGCATAGTATTAATATGCAGAAAGGTTATCACCAAGGAGAAGAGGCGCCGCGGCGCAGAGCTCGAGACGCACGGGCTCATTAGGGAGTGGCACGGCCCGCTGCACCATGGGCTTATCTACCCGTGCTCCCGTTGGAGCCACAGCCCCACACGCACGTGCTGCCAGGAGCCTCTTCTGGGATGGCAAGCTGGCTGCCCAGAGAATTCCCAGTTCCATTCAGAAATGTCTCCAAGGCCATGTGCCAGGAGGGAGGGAGGGGAGAAGAGCAAACCCGGGGAGAGGCGGGTTCATGTCGCAGTTGTGCAGCACAGACGGCTTCCAACGAAACAGCCCGGAGGGTGGAGCGAGAACCCCGCCATGCGCATCTGGCACAGCATGCACCCCGGGCTGGCGAGTGCCAGGCTCAGACGTGCTCGTCCAGGGGCAGGAGCACAGAGCAGCAGCAGAGTGGGGGTCCCTGCCCGGCTGGCTTTGTTCCATGGGTGCTGGAAGGCCAGGCGCAGGCTCCAGCATGGCGCTGGCATGGCTCAGCAGCCTGTGCAAGGGGGGTGTTCTTTGCCGTCATGAGCAGCTGATGCTTCGACAGGGTGGATGGAGCCCTCCCTCTGTGCAGCAAATAGGCCAGATCCTCTTGTCAGCTCAGCTCTGGCTTTGGGGAGTTTCTTCCCAGCTAGTTTCAGCTCTCAGCGGAAAATCACCGTGTGCAGGCAGCATGAGGCTGATTAGAGGTTCTTCTAGGAGGACTGTTCCTCAGAGCAGCTGGGGAACAAGGGGCTGAACAGCAACGCCAGAGGTACAAGGAACCAGTGTTGAACTGCTGCAGGCCGCGGGCTCCACGTCCCTTTGAAGGATCCATGTCTGGGGGAGTGTACCCACAACCAGAGCACGAGCAGCTCCCACAGCGGCAACAGCATGGGCTGAGCTGGAGCGGCAGCCAGAGCTGCCCTCCAGAGAGAGGCCTTTGTTCTTCTTTCTCCCTGCCTGTGAAAGCAGGTGGTGCTCAGAAAGCAGAGCCAGCCAGGTGGGCTCTGCCACGAAGAGAAATCCACCGTCACCCCATGCAGCGGGGAGAGACCCGCTCAGCTGCTCTGGAAATGCAATGGGCCGGGTAAACCAGCTCGGTTCCCCCAGCCACACAGGCCGCCCTCCTTCACGTGGCCCTGAGCATCCATCACCGTATGTTTGAGGCTCCTGTAGCTGGGGTTAAGCTGGCCCTGCCCAAGCAGGGAGCAGTGCAGAAGTGAGCACAGGAAAGGATGGCGGAGAGGGGAGAGTGCTGTCCTCTGGCTCTGATCGGAGGTTGGCAGCCGGGAGGAGCCTGTGCAGACTGTGGAGATGACAGCCCTGGGTCAGCGCTCCCCTGCTAGGCGGCAGTGAGCACCGCCAGGACGAGCTAGCTAGCGTCGGCAGAGGGGTACGAGTGTGAGCGTGGCACCGGGGCTTGAATGAAGCTGTTGCAACAGTTGTCCCAGAAACACTAAGAGACTGACAGGATGGAGAGCCGGAGGCTGGCCTCCAGGATGGAGCAGTTCACCAGCACTCCCTGAGGCCTGGACTGCTGGGCCAAACTCACGGCCCTCCATCCTTAGCATCGGCAAACCTTGCATCACAGGTGCACAGTCCACGAGAGAGCCGCCATTCTGCCTTGCCACAAGATAGGCCATTTGCTTTCACCCGAATACCCTGTACAAGCCCAAGGACTGACCTAGGCCAAACATTTTAGCCTCCACAAAACTAAAGCCCAGACAGAGAACAAGAGTCCCAGGAGCCACCGACCAGGTCCCTTGCAACAGCAGAGGCTGGCTGGGCAGGAGATGCCCAGATGATCCTAACCAGCAGTCTTGAGACCAGGTTACAGAGCAAAATGATGCCAGCCCAGCCCCCTGATCTGGGGGAAAAACCTCCTCCTGACACCACACACCAGCCGGAGCTGAAAAAAGGAGCCACTGTACGCCGCAGTGCACTGGCACCTACGCTCAGCACACCAGCACTGGGGCTGGCGCCTATGCTTGGCACACATCACAAGGTGCCCAGGGAAAGCCCCGCAGTGACCGGGAAGTGACAGAACGTCCACGAAGCTACTACACGAGCACTGGTGACAAGTGCCTCAGTGCTGCCAGGACCCTGTGCCTGGGCCGGGGTACGAGGGTCATGGATGTCCTGGGGAAGGGAGAGAGGTGCCCATCTTTTTCCTCACTAGGCTTGGGCGCTTTGAGGCAGGACTAGTTCCTCTCACCATCAGGGGAAGAGACCGGTGTAACGAGGCCTCAGTCCCCACACCAGTCTCTTGGGCACCACAGCCCCCAGCTGTTTCAGGTGGGTTAAGGGGTAGAGACAGCAGGGGTCTGAAAGCAACCGTGTCTCATGTGCTGGGAACTGGGCCTCCAGTCTGACTGTGTGGTATGAGAGAGGCAGGGGTGTGGGAGGAGGAGCCCCCCTGCCTGGGGCTAGGCTCAGGTGTGAACTGCTGCCACTGCACCCCTTCCCCAGAGGAAGGGCTCTTCCTAACAGCGTGTGCAGACAGGCGCATGCCATGCCTGGGGCTGGGCCGGGTCTCAAAGCTGACCAGAGCTGCAGGCGCTGTGCTCAGGAAAGCCTAGCTGTGAGCACTAAGACCCCAGGGCTGCACCCTGAAAACACTGCCCGGCCGGCTCCAAGCAGCTGCAGTTTCCCCAGACACGACAGCAAACCCCGGACCCAGATCCCTACACCCGCTCTGCTGTGCTCCCAGGAGCCTGCACCACCTGCCACGGCTTCTCTACGCTCTTGGTTGAACGGCAGGGAGCGCAGGGTGGCCGGCAGCTTGCCAGATGGATCGGGGAGGGAGACATCAGGCCCGGGTTGACTGGGCCCCGGCTGGGGAGGTGGCAGCCCCCTCCCACACATGGCCGAAGGTGGCTCATCATGCGAGACGGGGGGAAGGGCGTT